GCCACGCCGCCGTCGGGGCGCTGCTCAAGCTCGCCGTGCGCCCGATCGGGTCCCTCGGCGCGGCGACGGCCGTGCCGTCGGACGCGCTCACGAAGGAGGTCAGCGACCTCCTCACGACGCGGGACAGCGACTACGCCGCCACGTACCTCACGCCGGGCATCTTCACCAAGGCCAAGGTCCACAAGCTCATCCTCGACGCGCTCCCCGTGATCCTCGAGGCCGACGGCATCGCCGCCAAGTGCCGCAAGAACCGCACGCAGCCCACGGCCGACGAGCAAAACGTCGTCGACCGCTGTGCCGAAACCAAATCTTCAACCCGACTTCAATGTGAGCGTATTCGAATGCTTTGACACAAGCTCTTCGACTGGGCTTCGAGAACTCGACGAGAGCGATCGATCCGTCCAAAAATCAGCCGAATCGACTTTGATTTGACCGAGCTAGAGAATTCTCAAGTTTGGTCAGGACCACCCAAACCAGTGGTTGGTTTCGGCACAGGTCGACCGCGCGACGGCGCTCCGCGACCGGATCGTCCAGGTCCAGGCCTTCGACGAGCTCGGCGCCGAGCGCTACGGCGCGAAGCGCCCCGCGCTCCTCCAGACGGAGGAGTGGCTCGCCGACGCGACCAAGGACGCGGCCGTCGCCGCCTAGGCCGCCGCGCCGGCGCCTTCGCCGCCGTCGCCCCCCCCCACGTCGTGCCCCCCCACTCGCCTGCTCTCTAAGCGCCTCAGGACGCGCCGTGCTCCGAGAGCTTCTTCTTGCAGATGTAGACGTAGTGGTAGAGCGGCCGGCCCTTCTCGTCGACGGCGGGGTTCTTCGGGTTCATGACGGGCTTGGGGATCTGGTCCATGGTCACCTTCCAGCCGAACTCCCGGTTCGCCTGCTCCGGGTCGAGGTACTGGAGGTAGCCCGGGTCGTGGCTGACGACGAAGAAGACGCCGCCCGGCCGCAGCACGCGGCTCACCTCGTGGCACATGGCGTAGACGTTCGACGTCGACCCCTCGCCGCACATGAGCACGTCCATCGTCGCCTTCGCGATCGCGCCGTCGAAGGACTCGTCCGGGAACTCGAGCGAGCACGCGTTGCCGTGGATGAACTTGAGGCCCTTGAGGCCCGAGTCCTTGTACGTCTCGAGCATCTGCTTGACGACGACGAGCGAGATGTCGACCTGCGGCGCGCGGCGTCGCGCGCGCGGACCGACCGGGGGGCGCGCGCCGGCGCCGCGCGTTCATGACGTACTTGTAGCCGTCGTCGATCATGTCCGCGCCCATGCGCGAGTTGCCGCAGCCGAGGACGATCGTGTCCACGTTCTTGCGCACGTGCTTCTGCACGACGACGGCCAGGCCCGCCCAGCGCAGGTACCTACGAGGCGGTCGTCGGGCACGGCGCACGCGCGGCCGCCGCACCAGTCGAACTGGGCCGGGTCCTCCGTGTACCGCTCGTCCCAGTACTGCGTCTTGCCGTACTGGACGCTGGAGCCGTCGTTGATCTGGCCGTCGGCCATCGTGGGCAGCCAACCGGCGGGCCGACGGTGCTTCCAAGTGTGCTTCACTTTGTGCTTCCAGTTGCTTCCCAAGTTGCTTCCCTCACCGGCGTGCTTCCGGAGTCCAGAGCCAACTTCACTCCCGGCGCCCGCGCGGCATACTTCGCGATCCATCGACGCGGGCGGTTAGCGGTCCTACTTCCGGCCCTTGCGGCTCCGGCTCGGCTTCTTCGCGGCGAGGGTCGTCGTCGTCGTCGCCGCGAAGGCGCCGGGCTGGGAGAGCGGCGCGGCCGCGCCGAAGAGGCCGCCGGCCGCGGGCGCGGGCGGCGCCGCGGCGCCGAAGAGGCCGCCGGCCGCGGGCGCGGGCGCCGCGGCCGCGCCGAAGAGGCCGCCGGCCGCGGGCGCGGGCGCCGCGGCGGCGCCGAAGAGGCCGC